AAATAAAATATTTTAAAAAATAAATACAATTCAAAAAAAAAATTTTAAGTATGCATTTTAGGGCTAGGGTTGTACTTCAGTGATATCAGTCCTTCCCTAACATGCACAAAGCTCTTGGTTTGATCCCCAGAACCAAAAAACAAAACAAAGGCTCTAAACTGCACTTTACCTATATCAAATGAGACAACAGGAACACAGCCACAGGATATATGCTGCATTAACTGAAAGGTGACACTTACAGTTCAGATATAAAACAGCCCCAAGAGCTCATCTATTGAAGGCTTGGTTCCTTCTCTCCTTCCTGCCTGCCATGAAGTGAGCAGCTCTGCATTATTCTACTTCTGTGATGCTCTGCTTCACAACACTTGGGCCCAGAAATGACAGAGCCATGGGCTGAAGCCTCTGAAACTATAAGCCAAAATAAAACTGCCTTCTTTAAATTTGATTTACCAGGTATTTTGACTACCACAGTAGCTCTACTTAAAATTCTCACCTGATACGGTATGTGAAGAAATAGTGAGGTGGGTGTACTGAGCTGAGTTCTGGCAGAAATGATGTGGATACTGAAACTGTAATATCTCCAGTTGTTGCTACACACTCTGGATCATGAATATATCTAGTAAGTAAAAAAAAATTAAACAACATTTAAGAGAATCCACTAACTTCAATTTTAAAGATATGATCTATAATACCTTAAAATTAAAAAGTTAAATCATATTTAATACAGTCCTACTAAACTGAGAAGAATATTATAAATATATTGGGCTGGTAACTCTGGTTCAGTAAAAACAGCAATCAAGGATCAATGGTGATTCAAACAACTGATCAGTAATCAGTTTAAAAACTAATTTCTCTTAGTAAAATTTAAGACTTCTGAAAACCTACCTACACTTGCTAAATGGTAGCTATGGATAATAAAAAATGAGTAAGACTGTAAATACACTGAGCCTCTTATCCACAATTAATATATTGTTCCCACTGCTAATCTAGACATGCTTAATATATAATTAATCTATTATTTCTGCCATGAAGGCTACTATGAACTCGTATCACCTGTGATCACATCTAATGCTAACTGCCACATCTGAAAGTTCTATTTAGAAAGAATAAATGCTTATTAGAAATTAGTACTTGCTTACTTGCTATTCATAATAAATCTATTACCTTTTATTTTTCACGAAGAAAAATTATATAGTTACTATAAAGCCATAGTTTCTAAATGAAAATGAGCTCTTCATCTTGATTCTTGAAGATAAGAAAAAATACTGGTTGATTAAATGTTTTGATGTTCTGGCTTTAAAGTGAGAATAAAATTGTGAGATATAAGATTATGAAAGGGTATGTTATTAACTTTCTAGAGAAATTTCATCTCATAATTTATGGTAACTTTTTTTCTGATTTATAGTCATTTCAATCCAAAACACACCAAATGAATACCTGAAAATTTGGTCTCTGATGATAGGGAAACCACCTGATACAACATTGTTGACATAGGACGTAAACCAGTCAGTAAAAGTAGCACCTATAAACCAAGAAGGGGAAAAATAAGTAAAAGAAAAAAAATCTACAGAGAAAACAATTATACTTTCACTATGCTTAAGGTGTGATTCCAAAACTAGAAATGTGTAGATATAATTCTGTTCATTATCTAACAGGCCAACTTCTTTTCTCAATTTTTATTTAGTGTAAATGTGGTATATGCATGTAGTATGTGCTCATCTGTGTGCATCTGTACACTGTTGTGCACACACATGTAGAAGGCAGAAAGTTGCGTCCCTGCTCCACTACTCTCCACCTTATTCCTCTGAGACAGGGCTGTTCACTGAATCTGGAGCTAAACTGGCATCCAGCAAACTCCAGCAATCCTCCCGTCTTTGCTCTCCAAAGTACCAGGATTATAGGCACATGCCACAGCCACATCCGGCTTTTTTGTGGCTGGGCTGGGATCTGAGGTCAGATCCTAATACTTGAACAGCAAGTGCTCTTACCCAGTGAACCGTCTCTCCAGCCCTTCTATTTTCAATGCTACTTGCATTGTTTCCATGGCATTCTCTACCACCATTCTCCCCAGCCCCTGCCCAACTCTTGGTAGGAAATCCTGTAGCTACTTCATCTCTTTTTTGGTTTGTTTGGAGTTTTTTTTCACACTCATAATTGGTTCTGGTATAGTTATAAAAAACCTATCTATTGATTTCTAAAGCATGCAGAACAAAGGAGATAGTTGTATCTAGGTAGAAACTTTTAAGTATTAGGCACCTATTCTCAGATGATCAAGGCTCACCTAGACACATCCTGATTCATGCACAAAATGCTAGCACAAACAGGGTCAGTATAGACATTGGCCAGGGACATGACATTGTGGACTTCCAAGCATCAGGTCAATATCAAAATGGTCTAGTTGCTCAGTACTATAGATTTGGTTGCACAGTAGCCCTCCAATTCAAAGCAGAAAAGAATTATTGGAATAGTCCAGTTCAGTCTATTTGTCCATGATGTAAATAGATCAATGACAAATATTTAGATGAATTAAGCATAACCTACTAGGTAATACAATATAACTATCAGACCCAATTATCTATTGTTAATACAGTTTAATGCCTAGCATATATTACCACCTTAGTTAATGCTATTCAATGAATTTCTTTATAGTTTGGTTTCAATTAACCAGTTCTTTATTCTGCCACATTGAGTATCAAATGCTGAATTTACATCATTTACTAATTATGCTCTTTAAGGGAACACTAGAAGACATAATTTGGCTTTTATCTAAAAATATAAAGCTTTAAAAGTTTAAAGCTAACTGAGAGAAGGTATTAATAAAGTAGTCAGCTCATATCTAGCTATGGCCCATACTTTTAAAAAAATTTTATTATTTTTATTTTCTTTGTATGAGTGTATTTCCTGTAGAGTTAAGTGCACCCATGTTGTACAGTGCCCACGGAGGTCAGAAGGGGGTGTCAGATCCCCTAGAACAGGAGTTATGAATGGTTAACCAGAAGATTTTTCTTTTTAATTTTAAATTTTATTAATTTCATTCTATCTGTATGAGTGTAGTGTCTGTATGTATGCAAGTGTAAGTGTGTCATGCAATGCCCACAGAGCTTAGAAAAAGGAGTCAGATTCCCTGGAACTAGAGTTACAAATGGTTGTTAGCCACCATGTGGGAGCTGGGAATCAAACCCAGGTCCTCAGAAAAGCAATCAGTGCTCTTAACCACTGAGCCATCTCTCCAGTCCCCACAGGTGCACTTACATACACACAGGCAAAATATGTATACACTAAAAGTTAATGAAGTAGATAAGCCCATTCTTTTTCTACTATTTATTAGATACTGTTGTATTTTTTAAAACTCTTTAAATCTTTTATTTTCTTTTTGTTTATTTGTTCATTTTATTTTTGAAGACAGGGTCACATGTTGCCTGGAATGGCCAAAAATTCTGTATGTAGGTAAAGATGACTTTGAACTCTTCTTGATCCTCCTGCCTCCATCTCTGAAATGCTAGGACAACAGGCATGCACCACCACACTTGGCTACAAGTCTTTAATATTTTCATCTGACTACTGTGTTTTTTTTTTATTATTTTTATTTTATGTGTATGCGTGTATTGCCTGCATGTAGGTTAGTTAAGTGTACCCGTGTCATGCAATGCCTGTGGAGGTCAGAAGAGGCTGTCGGATCCCCTGGAACTGGAGTTATGGACAGTTGTTAGCTGCCATGTGGGTGCTGGGATTCAAACCCCGGGTCTTCTGCAAGAACCACCAGTGTTCTTAACTGCTGAGCCATCTCTCCAGCCCCAACTACTGTATTTTTTAAATTACTAGTCATCTTTTATTCACTTTGAATAGGATTTTTGAGGAGTCTATGAATCACATCATTAAATTCATAGAAGTGCCACATCCAAAAAAAGGGGGTTATTTATTTTTAAATGAATTTCTTGCATGTAATTATTTTCTTCTCATCTTTTTTTATTATCTTATTTTTCATGTATTTTTACTCTATGTTTTTAAAACTATTAATTTCATTGGGTGGTTTTCAAAAATCACTTTGTATAATTTGTAGAATAAAAAAATGTTACACAAGAAAAACTTCTTATAGTTTGAAAAACTGGCATGGTATACTTCAATGTACTTTATTATAATATGTACCAAAGTATGTCTTCAAGTGAGGACAGAATAGGCTGCACTCACAAAACTCATCTGAGCAGAGCTTCTAGTTTTCTTAAATAGCTTTCTATTAATAGAGCACTGAACATACCAGGCATAGGGGCACATGCCTTTAGTCACAGCACTCAGGAGGCAGACAGGCAGATCTCTGAATTCAAGGCCAGCCTGGACTACATGGGAGTACTAAGCTAATCAGGGACATACAGTGAGACCCCGTCTTAAAACAAAAACAAAAACCCAGAATATACCAGATGTCTTCTTGAATGTTACCCAAACCCCAAGAACTGAAACCCAAGACACAATTTACAAGTTTCCAAGGTATTTTACCTTGTAAGTAACCCCATGTTTGAAAGGCTCTTTGATAGTTCTAGGGTTTTATCAAGGTACCTAAAGACAGCTTCTTTTTTGTCTTTTATCCCAGTACTAACTTCCCACCTCATCTATTCTTACTGTATTTCACATCTTTTGTTTGCTTTCCTATTCTAGAAGTTTCAGTTTCTAAGATATTGCTGCAATAATGTGGTTTATTCTGTATCAAATCAGACTAGCATGAAACTAAAAGAAACTCAGAGCCTAGCAGCAGCTTTCCTTATTGATCAGGCAGCTGTTACCTTAGAGAGTAGCAGTGCTAGGCTAGAGCTGTGATAGTCAGCTCTGAAAATGTGCTGTTAACAAGATGCCAATGAAAGCAGTAAGCAAGGACTTGACATTCTGACAGTGCTCAACTTAGGAAACAAGAGACTGAATGAGTCAGAATGAGTTGAAAGCTAAGGCATAAATTTAAAAGCTTTTGTAATTCAGGCAGTGGTACGATCTTTTTGGATATTGTGAAGTATATCACAAACCTAGACTGTGTCACAGTATGAAACAAATGGATATTCTCTGTTCAAGGTCCAATTACAAGATAAAATTAAATACCAACAGCTTAGCCAGCAAAGCCTCTTTAACTATTATTTGTTTTTATTTAATGCCGGAGATTGAACCTGGGCCTTGCACATGCCAACCCAATGCTATACTCTATAGCCTAACACCTTCTATACTATTAATATATGAGGAGGGGACTGGAGAGATGGTCCAGAAGTTAAGAATACTGTCTGCTCTTGCTCCCAGCACCTACACAGTAGCTAACAACTGTCTGTAACTCCAGCTCTAGGGAATCCAACACTCTTTTTCTGGCCTCCAAGGGCAATGCACAACACAGGTGCACTTACATGTAGGCAAAATACTTATACATATAAGTATTAATTAATTTAAAAATAACTAGAGAAGATGTTTATGTGTCAGAAATGCCATTAAAAAAAAGCAGAGGGATATGCAGGAAGCTTCTGTTAGGGGAGCAAAATCTAAGCAATATAAGACTAGATGAACAGCAAAAGTGTGAGCTGTACGTGCATACCAACTAAAGAGCTCTCAAATTTCTAAGAAGGGGTTGGAGAGATGGCTCAGTGGTTAAGAGCAACCAGCTATTCTTGTGGAGGACCCAGCACCCACATGGTGGCTAACAACCAGTTAACTCCAACCAGTTAACTCCTGGAACTGTAACTCCAGTTTCAAGGGACCTGATGCCCTCTTCTGACCTCCATGGGCATTGCATGACATGGGTGCACTTACATACATGTAGGCAATCTATCTATGCACATAAAATAATTTTTTTTTAATGTATAAGAAATACCTTCATTGCTGGGCATAGTGGCACATGCCTTTAACCCCAGCACTTGGGAGGCAGAGGTAGGCAGATCCTCTGTGAGATAGAAAGCAGCCTAGTCTACATAGTGAGCTCCAAGCCAGCTGAGGCTACAGGGAGATCCTGTCTCAAAACAAAAACAAAAAACAAAAAATCTTCTAATGCCAAGGAGTTTATGCAGCACATAATTTATACTTATCTTAAAGACTAGTACTTCTCAAGTCTCTAGTTTGACTTGTATTTTGCTACAGCATTAGCAGCAAATGAGAAAAATCACTTTATACAACTGTATCTCCAATTATATGTCAATATGTTCAATGGAAAGTGCATGAAGTATGCATATGTTAAGGGAACTGTATGAGTTAGCTTTAACTGTCTTAACAGCCTAGAGCCACCTGAGAAGGGAGCCTCAGTTGATGGATTTCCCAAATCGGACTGGCCTGTGAACATGGTCTTATTAATTGATGTAGGAGGGCCGAGCCCACTGTGGGCAGCACCATTCTCTGGGTAGGTGATCTTAAACTTTATAAGAAAGCTAGCTAAGCCTAAGCCTGCCAGCAAGTAGGCCAGCATAGAGTTCCTCCATGGTTTGTGCTTCAAGTTTTTGCTTGAGTTTCTGCCCTGACTTCTCTCAGAGATGGACTATAATCTGTAAGCTGAAATAAACTCCTCCCCTAAGTTGCTCACCCTTTTGCTAATTCATCGAGTCTCATCTTGCTTAGATTACTCACTTCATTCAACAGAGTTGCTTTTTGGCAGGGTACCCTATCACAGCATCAGAAAAGTAATACAGGAACTATATACACAGAGCAATTCTATGTACCTCACTTTAAATAACCAGAAACACAAGACTGCATAGGATATGTTTTTGTTTTTTTTCCCCAAGCTTAGACAAAACTCAAAGCAAGCACAAGAACTGTTCCAATGCAAGAGAGAACCTAGAAAGTCTTTTTAAGAAATCCAAGTATAAAACTGTCAGTTGTTGGAGCAATCAAAGTTTTACCAATTCATTTTCTTTCCTTTTTAAACCAGGAGAAAGAAGGGTAAAAGACTATTCTTTTTCTCCTACCTATGATAAACATGTCAATAGCAGCAGGATTCCGAGCCATTTGGTCCTACATGAGAAAAAAAAATTTAATTGACACAAATACATTTCTTGTTCTTATTACCTAGATCTTCTCCTAAACAAGGCAAACTAGATAAAAATAATTTAGATGGTATAATCAATATTCATATCAGTTCCTACTATTATAATTTCTATGTTTAGGCTTCTATAAAATTTTGGGGGAAAAAAAAAACCAGGCACTACTCAATAAAATAAAAATATATAGTATCTGACACAGCTTTAGCTATCAACTTGACACAAACCTGGAGTCACCTGGGAAGGGGGAACCTCAACTGAAGAATTGCTCAGATCAGACTGGCCTGTGGCCATGTCTATAAGGCATTTTCTTAACTCTTAATTGATATAGGAGGGCCCAGCCAACTGTAGGTGGTGCTGACTCTATGCAGGTAGGCCTGGACTGTATAAGAGCGAGCTCTGGACATCAGAGCTCGATGCACACAGAAGGCCACAACTGGCCAAGTTTTGGAGAATAAGAAAACGAACAATGCTATTCCTATTAAAACAAATCAAGAAAATATCCTTCGAGAATATAATTAGGAACTTGAAGTAATAAATATACGGCTTGTTATCATAGTAGAAAGGGATTTGGATTTAGTCAAGAGACCTGAACAATTCTAGGATATTCAAAAAGATAAAATCTTCATGTTATGAGCCAGGCGTGGTGGCACACGCCTTTAATCCCAGCACTCGGGAGGCAGAAGCAGGCGGATCTCTGTGAGTTCAAGGCCAGCCTGGTCTACATAGTGAGTTCCTGGACAGCTGGGGCTACAGGGAGACCCTGTCTCAAAAAGACCAAAAAAAAAAAAAAAAAAAAAAAATCTACATGTTATAATTGACTACTTCAACAACTTCCTCATTAGTTTTTTTATACTTAAAATGCCTTAACATGAATCAGAGTGTTCCATCTAAACATGTAATAGTTTTTCCAATGGTAAAACTTTATTTTGGTATTCCATACCACTATATTAGACTATTAGCTCTCTAGTTAATTATAATGTATAATACTTTGAACCTATTTTGTATCTGAAAGTATCTAATATATACATTTATATTATCATCAGAGTACATACCAAAGCCACAATCAAACACACTTCAGACTTACTGGACACTGGTAGAAAACTTCATTTTTGTTTCGGCCCTCTGCAGCCTCCACTGCTATATACTGACTCAAGCCAGTATGTATGCAGAATGTTAAAGGGAGACAGTATTTCAGTCCCTGTCTCTGCTGGAATCCACCTGCAGCAGTATCAACGTCTAATAAATCTTCAGAACGATAGTGATTTGATAGAGCCATACTTCCCAACAACCTGAGGAGAATACAGACTCAAAAATGTTAAGATCAAAACCAAAAAATAATGTCAAAGAGCTTGTGTTTCATCTTTTTTTTGTTAAGAGATGGTCTCACTATGTGTCCCTAGCTGGCCTGGAATCTGCTATGTAGATCAGAATGGCCTCAAATTCAGCATTCTACTTGCGTCTGCCACCAGAGTGAGATTAAAAGCATATGCCACCATGTCTAGGTGTTTCATCTTTTTTAAAATTTTCACTTTAAAGCCAGGCCTGGTGGTGCACACTTTTAATCCCAGCACTCGGGAGGCAGAGACAGGCAGATCTCTGTGAGCTCAGGTCAGCCTGGTCGACATAGTGAATTCCAGGCCAGCTGGGGATACAGGGAGACCCTGTCTCAAAAAAGACCAAAAAAATTATTTTATGTGTATGAGTGTTTTGCCTGCACATTTGTAAGTGCACCTGTGCATGCAATACCTGTGGAGGCCAGAAGAGAACATGAGATCATGAGATTCCCCTGGGACTGGAGTTGTTGATGGTTGTTAGCTGCCATGTGGGTGCTGGGAACTGAACTTGGGTCTTCTGTAAGAACAACCAATGCTTTTAACCATTGAGCTATCTTTCCAGCCTATTTCAACTATTAAAATTTTTTTGTTATTTTTATTTGTGTGTACTGCCTGCATGTATGTAAGTGCCCCCATGTAGTGCAATGCCCGCAGAGGTCAGAAAAGGGCATTAGATCCTCTGGAATTGGAGTTATGGATAGCTGTTAGCTGCCATGTGGGTACTGGGAACCAAACCTGGGTCCTCTGCAACTGCAGTCAGTGCTCTTAACCACTGAATCACCTCTCCAGCCCCTGTTTAATCATTTTGATGGATAATTTCACACTGATTATTTTCTTTTTGTTTTTGTTTTAAACAGGGTCTTGCTATGCTGGCTTCAAACTTGAGGCAGTCCTCCTGCCTCAGCCTCCAGAACACTAGGCATTAATTAGCATGTTTATTCTAACCAAGGATATCAAAACCACTAAAATGACTATATATCAAAATTCACTCTTTTGATCAGAAAGACTTTGGCCTAATTTAAAAATCAAATGTCTAAGCCAGGTGTGGTGGCACAAGCCTATAGTCCCAGCACTTGGGAGGCAGAGGCAGGCAGATCTCTGTGAGTTCCAGGCCAGCCTGGTCTACATAGCGAGTTCCAGGCCAGCTGGGGCTACAAGGAGCCCCTGTTTCAAAAAGACCAAAATAATAGATAGATAGATAGATAGATAGATAGATAGATAGATAGATAGATAGATAGATAAAAATTTAAAAAGCAAATGTCTATCTAAATGCCAGTATTTTTAGAAGAAATATAATTTTACTGCTTTTAAGCAACTTATGCTTAGTGTGGTGGCATGCCTGTAATCCTTATGCCTGGCATAAGGATTGCTGCAAGATTAAGGCTAGCCTATATTACACAGTGAATTCTAGGCCAGCCTGGGCTAGAATAACCCTGATTTTTGTTTTTTAATTTATGTGTATGAGTGTATTGCCTACATGTGTGTAAGGGCACTTGTGTCCCGCAATGCCTGCAGAGGTCAGAAGAAGGCATCGGATTCCTCTAGAACTGGACTTAACAGCTGTTCGCCACCATGTGGGTGCTAGGAATCGAACCTGGGTAGGTAGGATTTGTATCAAGCTCCTGAAACAATTTACCTGGCCTATAATGGTAAATATGTTAAGCAGTCTTAACATTAAATTATACTTATCCCCCGCCCCATATTCCCAACAACATTTCACTGTAATCACAAAAATGTGTTGGTAGAAAAGATGTTTTTATGATATATATTTATTTGGGTAAAATCTAACCTGTACGTTTTATCTTATGGATTACTATAAGGAAGAGGGAATTCCTATATTTTAAGAGTAACTATGAATAAAATGGACTTTCATTCTAGAAAACAACTTCCATTATTAAAAATTACTAAAGTATCAAATGTCTTACCCAGGAACCACTAGCTTCTGTCCATTGTGGATCCGGTATGAACATCGATAATCATCAGGAAGCTTGCAACCAATCTGAGCTTCTACAGCATCTAGGTCTTCCTCACGAGCACCGTCTATAAATGCATACCAAAGACAGAACTGTGAGCACACAATGAGCTGTCAATCTAGTAATCCTGCTGACAACCCATGGAACAGTCTTAGAGCAAGTGAATTTTGTTCAAAATATATTGCTAAAATATAGGGAAATCGTTGGAAAATTTAATTTGAAGCATTGACCAAAGTCCTTGGTTTCCTCTCAACAGGGAAAATACTGGCACAAGGTAAAATATGGAAAGAAGCACCAATGAAATGAAATGCACAGCACTTTTTTTTTTTTTTTTTTTTTTTTTTTTTGGAAAAAGGGTCTCCTTGTCGCTCCAGCTGGCCTGGAACTTGCTATGTAGACCAGGCTGACCTCAAACTCACAGAGACCTGGCTGCTTCTGCCTCTAGAGTGCTAAAATTAAAGGTGTGGGCCACCATACCCAGCTACTACACTTTTTTTTTTTTTACATTGTAACACACACCTTAGGATAGATCTCATTCTTTTAAACCTAATATATTCATATGGCTTTGTTTATTAAAGAATTTATTTATAAACAGCTGTCACTCTAGAGTTGTAATGTAGTTCCTTTGTTGGAAATATAGATGTAGATTCATGCTGTGAGACCACTTGAATCTTATTTGTATATTTGTCAACTTGGCCTGCATTCTCGCTGTCAGAAGGAGGAAGAAACTAACAAACAATAAGAAAAAGGACCCATTCAGATTGCAACAAGAATTCTGAAGACATCAAAGAAAAATTAAAACAAACCACCACCATTGCCAAAAATAAAAATAAAGTCCATGTAGTAGCTAAGTATGGCAGTACCTGACTGTAACCCTAGTACTTCGTAGGCTGAGGGAGGAGGAGCGAGAATGCAAGGTGGACTCAAAAAAGCAAAAACAGAAACAATAAACAAAAACATAAGAGGCCAATCAGACTTCTGAAACCACCTTGTTTTTAAGCAACTGCCAAATCCAAAAGAAAACAAGAGGCCAAGGAGCTGGGCCAACCTTTAGATAAGACATCAGGATAGGAAAAAAACGAGGGTTCAGAGTCCACAAAGGAGAAATGTACCTGATTAAAAAAAGAAACACACTTTTGACTAGTGCACAGAAAGTCAAATCCTAAAAAAAAGTGAACTGAAAATAGACTAGTTCCCATAGACTAAAAGCCTAGCTTTTCCAATCATATCAACCCCAGACTGAATTATGGTGATCCACCCACTGACTGACAGCTAGCCAAAAGCATAAGTAAATCCCTAGGAGAAAAAAAATACTACCTTAAGACTCAAGTAATACCTGGCACTCACTCAAAAGAACTAAGCCTGGGGGAGGGGATGGGGGGGATGTGGATGGGGAGGGGGGTCTAAATTTGATTAAAAACTGTATGAAATGCACAAAAACTCAATAAAAAATATTTTCAAAAAAAGAACTACCTCAATAGAAGAACAGACTAAAGAACAAGAGCCAGGTGTGGCAACCATGACTATAACCCTAGCAGTTTTTAAGACTATTAAATATTAAAAATAAAAAAATATGAGGGGCTGCTCAGGTGTGGCTTAAAGATGGAACATTTGCCTCCTGTGCATAGAGACCTGGGTTGGAGCCCAAGCACCTACCCTCAAAAAAAGGGTCCATAAAAGGGAGGTGATTAAAGTACTCTAAGGCTCATTCAATTGTCCAGGAAGTGGTAAATATACTAAATTACATTAGGCTTTAATAAATCAAAGATGCATACATTAATCTCTACTGCGATCACTAAAAAGGAAATATTAAGGGAAGGAAATGGAATAAAACATAATTAAGAATGTAAAAAAGAACAGTGAGCAGGATTAAATGACATGTTTAAGTTCAAATATACTAAAATAAGTAAATATCAATAAGCCACATAATCTAATGAAAAGACAGACCAGATAAAAAACGAAGAGCTCAGAAGGGTGCAGTTCAGGGATAGAGAACAAATATTTAGAATATATGAGGCCCTAGGTTCAATAGTAGCATGAAACGAGTTCACAAAATTGTATGTAAAAGATACTTCATGGGGGCTAGAGAGATGGCTCAGTGGTTAAGAGCACTGGCTGCTCTTACAGAGGAACTGGATTCAGTTCCCAGCACTCACATGGTGGCTAACAACCATCCATAACTCCGGCTTCAGGGGAATTCCACATGCTCTTTTGACTTCTGCAGGTACTGCATGATGCGGGTGCACTTACATGCATGCTGGCAATACACTCATACATATAAAAAAATAAAAATGTTTTTATTTTATGTGTATGAATGTAAAGCCGGCATGTGTGTAAGTGCACCCATGTTGTGCAATGTCAGTGGTGGTCAGAAGAGGGCGTTGGATCCCCTGGAACTGGAGTAACAAAGGCTGTTAACTGCCATAGGGATGTGGGAATCGAACCCAGGTCCTCTGCAAGAGCAGCCAGTGCTCTTAACCACTGAGACATCTCTCTAGTCCAAAATAAAATATTTTTTTAAAAGACACTTCATAATATAGACATAGAAAAGAAAGTTAGAATGGCTCTTCTAAAATCACATGAGACTTTAAGACAGTTTCCTTAGAGCTAATGGAAGACTTTCATAATTACAAAACAGTTAAATTCACTGTATAAGTATAAATTTTGTGCACCTAAATAACAAGTACACACACACACATACACACACACACACACACACACACACGTATGTATAAACACACATACACATTTTTTTCCTCTTAAGGTTTCGAGTATACTACAAGGCGGCAGTAGGTGGGGCAGTGAAGTACTACCTACAGCCTAAAATATAGTATCAGAGCTAAAATGGCAAAATAATATATCTATAAGCACAGGTATGCTTTAATTTTCCACTGCTACAGTATTAGCAGCTTAAAATAAACATTCATTTGCATTTGTTTGCTTATTTGCAAGTAATTGTGAGGCTAGGACGGTCCAGGCAAGGCTCCTTGCTTCAAAACCTCTCCCATACAGGTAGACACCTGGCCCCTCTACTCTAGGCTCAGCTGAGTAAGGGTGGAGTAGGCTGAGTCCACCCTCCAGGAAACTGAGCCAGGACACTTATTTATTCTGTTTCTATAAAAGTCTAGGCATGACTTTACTGGATTCTTTATTCAGATCACAATGTTAAAATCATGGCTGCTAGCCCATCTTACATATATTTTGCCTTGGATCCTCATCTAAGCCCATTGATTATCTATAGTATTCAACTCCTTGCATTTTTACCAATGAGGTCTTCGGTGTCATTTCCTACCACACATCCTTCTCTGCAACATACCAGTTTGCTTATTCAAAGTCAACAGGCAAAACACATTATGAATCTCTCTGCCCTCTTATAGGCCCAGTTGCTTTTAAGAGCTTACTTGATTAAGGCAGACCTATTCAAGAGAATTTCCCCTTTGATTAACAAATTCAAATCATTTGGGACTTGATTTATATCTGCAAAATTTTTTCACCATTCTTAAATAATAGAGCTTAATATGGGCATGAAAACAATTTTATCCACATTCACTGCCTATACTCAAGGAGACAGAACTCTTGCAAATTGAGGTCTTCAGAGGTTAGAGGCAGCAGGGGTACAGCTCCCACTCTCTTAACCTCAGCCTTGGGATACAGCCGGAGGGGGGAGAAAGAGAGAGAGAGGGGAGAGAGAGAGAGAGAAAGAGAGAGAGAGAAAGAGACCCTGTCCCAAAATAAATTAAAAACCAAGAAAGTAAAAATCAGGATCTGGGGAGATGGCTCAGTTGAGAACTGCTTACTGTACAAACATGGGAGTTCAGATCCCTAGTATCCAGATACAAAGCCAGGTGTGGCACAGCACCTATAATCCCAGCACTGGGGAAGCAGAGATAGAAGATTCCTGGGGCGAGAGAGAAAGAGACCCTGTCCCAAAATAAATTAAAAACCAAGAAAGTAAAAATCAGGATCTGGGGAGATGGCTCAGTTGAGAACTGCTTACTGTACAAACATGGGAGTTCAGATCCCTAGTATCCAGATACAAAGCCAGGTGTGGCACAGCACCTATAATCCCAGCACTGGGGAAGCAGAGATAGAAGATTCCTGGGGCTTGCTGGCCAGCCCAGTCTAGCCCAATCTGTGAGCTTCAGGTTCAGTGAAAGACTCAACCTCAAAAAATGGGTGGAAAACAATTAAGGAAGATACCCAACATCGACCTCTGGCCTCCATATACACTTGCATGTAAAAGGAACACATCTATATACATACACAAAAAATTTTAAAAACCTGTAAGATAAGCTAATATGCTTAGAAGTAATTTTATAAATGCAAATGTATTAGTGTGTTAAAAAAGAAATCCTGGAAAATTTATAACCTAAGTAATCATCTCAAGTCAAGAAGGGGGAAAATCCTAGTAAACTCAAAGATGTCAAAGAAATTAATGAAATAAAAATATAAAGTAAGCCAGGTATGGTAGCAACACACCTTTAATCCCAGCACTAGGGAGGCAGAGGCAGGTGGATCTCTGTGAGTTTGAGGCCAGCCTGCTCTACATATTGCGTTCCAGGCCAGCTGGGGATACTGGGAGACCTTACCTCACAAAGACCAAATATGTATATGTGTGTGTGTGTGTGTGTGTGTGTGTGTGTGTGTGGTGTGTGTGTGTGTGTGTCTGTGTATTAAATACAGTAAAAAGGACTGAAAAAAATACAGTAAAGAGGACTTTGAAAATATTTGATTAGTCCTTACCTAGCAAAACAGATAAGAAAATGATAACTAATATCAGAATAACCAATATCAGAAATGAAAAGTGGTATCACTACAGATTTACTAAGCATTAAAAAGATATTATAAATGTAAAAAATTTGAAAACATAATTTCCTAGACAATTTATCAAAATAGAGAGCCTTGTCTTATATTAAAGATACTGAATCCTTAATTAAAAACCTTCCCATAATGAACTCCAAAGCTGAATGGCTTGCTGACATAGTCTACCAATCATTTAAACAATAGGACCAAGCTTACATAAACTCTTCTAGAGAACAGAAAAGGAAGTAATATTTCCTGACTTGTGTACAAGGTCAGCATTATCTTGATAACAAAATCCGATACACTGCAAGAAAGGAAAATTACAGGCCAAACTCTCTCAAAATGTGAAAATTCCAATAGTAGTAGATCCAATCATATATGTGTGTATTATGGATGGATCGATGGATATAGATAATGTATTATGCTAAAATAAGTTCATTCCAGGAATGTAAAGCTGGTTTCATATTTGGAAAATCAATAAAGGTAATCCACCACACTAACAGAATGGAGGAGAAAAATCACATGACAATCATAAGGCACACCAGACTATGGCTAAAAATCCAATTGTCGATTTAAAACACAAAAACAGGGGCTGGAGAGATGGCTCAGTGGTTAAGAACACTGGTTGTTCTTGCAGAAGACCCGGTTTGAATCCCAGCCACCCACATGGCAGCTAACAACTGTCTTTAACTCCAGTCCCAGGAGATCCAACAGCCTCTTCTGACCTCCATGGGCACTTACCTACATGCAGGCAATACATGCATACATATAAAATAAAAATAAATAAAATTAAAAACAACAACACAGAAACAAAAATTCTATTCACAAACTAGAATTCAAAGGGACTTCCTCCAATTTGGTAAAGAATATATACCTGTGCTGGATAGCTTTAGTGTCACTTTTGTGTTCTGATAAATGTCTTCCAGTATTACTAGGAATAACTGAACAAGAGTTCCATAGAACTCTCTGAATCATTTGCATCTTTCCTGCAAATCTGAATTACTCTTAAAAATTTTACTTTTAAAAAAGAAAAATTTTAGGAGCTTGGAAGATGCCTCAGTCAGTAAAAAGCTTGGTGTGCAAGCATGAGGGCCTGAGCTTGGATCCCTGGCACACATGTAAAAGTCAGGCGCTGAATTGCATGTCTGTAATCCCAGCATTGGGGGGAGAGGGGGGCAGAGACAGACAGATGCCTGGAGCTAGCTGGCCAGCCCACCTAGCTGAATCAGTGAGCTCCAGGTTCAAGTGAGATACTATCTCAAAAAAGTAGGGGTGGGGGGAGTGGATGGGGAGGGAGTATAAAAATGATTAAGGTGTTTTGTAGGAAATGCACAAAAATTCAACGAAAGTATACATAAAAAATTAAAAAGTTAAGTGAAGGAAGACCCTGGCATCGTCCTCTGGTGTGTATACACACACACAGGTACACATACACATACCACACTCATACACAAAAGAAATTCTTTAAAAAGAAAGTTTAATAGAAAAGGAACCGGGCTGATAAGAGGCCTATGTAGTATGTTGCATAAGGAAAGAAACTAACATTTGTATGTTTTGTGCTACATGTTACATTATTTAACACCTAAGATTAAGAATCCAAGAATTTCTTGGAGACAGAAAAGTAAAAACAAACATAATTAACAAAAAGTGAGATGTAAGGAAACATATGTTTGCAACACAGTAAAAGCAAGACTGAAAGAGGCATTCCACACAGGGCTTTTAGCTTGGCTCTGCTTCTTGCAGGTTATCTCATCTCTTTGACCTTGCTTTCTCCTCTGCAAGAAAAAGGGATAACAGCACCTACCCGAGAGACTTACAGGAAGGACTAAATAAAACTTCATGTGCTTATTTAGTGAAGCATTTTACTAGTATTCAATAAATATTCATCCATTTTTCCCTCCCTAGCATACTCATGAGGAGGTAGTGAAAGGTTATCAGAAGCCAAGATTAGATTTTATCTTTGTCACTTACTAGCTATTGGACCTCACTGGGTCACCTACACTTTTCTGCTATGAGATGAGAGTACTAGTAATAAATCTGGACTTGGAAATTATAGCCCATAAGCTAAATTCTTTTTACTGGAACCCAGATACCTCCGTTTGTTTATGTATTGTCTATAGCTGTTTCCCAGAAATAACAGTTTAACAACAGGGTTAAATAGCTGTGACAAACACCATGTGTCCCACACAACCTAAAATATTTACTATGTGTTCCTTTTAAGAACAAGTTTGCCAACCCAATTGTTAAACTCACAACTCTATAATTCTAAGCCAACTTAGAAGGAAAATAAGAAATTTGAAGATACATGATTAAGGACATCAATACACAGTTTTAAGATGCTCCATACAAATTATCCTAAGACCCAGTGCCTATTTGTGCATTAATTTTTCTTTTTTACTTGACACCTTTATAACCTTAAAATTAATCAGGACTATGGCACCTGAGATCAGTAGCTAAGTTCCTAACTTAGTTATAAACTCCTAAGTCTAGAGTTCCTAGCTATCTGTAGATATCCTAGTGTTTTTACCTTATTCCAAACTCATGACAAACCCTGACAACTGGCATCTTAGCAGTAAAGCAGAAGTGGTTAAGGAATCTGACAGCTTAACCATCAACTGCTCAGTATAGAACAGAGAGTGAGGAGCCTAGGAATGCCAAAGGAAAAAGAAAAAGGAGCTTTAATTCTGTTCCTAAAAGAACAACCATTTCTACAATCTCATATTCCAAATGTACTAATATGGACTGACCCTTAAAGAGACCTAAGATATTCTAAACAAAACAGGCTAGGTCCTCTCCCTTCAGTCACAACCAATGCGAAGATCACACCTCCAGAACGAACCCTCTATTAATTCCTGGCTTGTCTTTCACTTTCTGATGGCAAACTTGGTCCTTTATGCCCTAAATACTGTCACTATAAAATGAGAATAACTGCCTTCCTTACAGAATTTTTGCAAAGTAAATGAAGTAACATAAAATATTTAGTTTTAAAAAGAAAAAGAAAAACATTTAGTTTAGTGTCTAACTTTGTGCTTGATAGTGATAAGCTATTATCTATTTTACTTATCACCACTAAATACATTTTCAAATTATTGTCTTCTTGAAGTAGTTTATCCCACATACCAGGTGAATATTATTATTCATTTCTTCCTACAAAATAAGCTGTTAAAATATTAGGAGTACTTTTCTTTAGTGTTCTTCCATTCCATCTACTAAAATCATTTTATTCTACACTTTCTAGCCATTCAGATTTAAGCGCCTTGTCACGAAATCATGGTTTGTCTGAAAGTGAAATATCTGCATGGGAAATTACAATGGAAATCTGAAAGGTAAAGAGGGAGTGCTATTTCAAGAAGACTAGGTCTAAGGAAAAAGAATCAAAAAGGACTGATGCCAATTTAGGTTAGCAAAATCAAAACATGTATATAATTCATTTTAGTAAGTCTGAAAAAAACTTAGGAGTGTAAAACAGATAAGCAATAATACATCTATGTATTCATAGACATTAATAAACAAAGCAGATAAAGGGAAATAACTTACTATTTTATTTTTTTGTGGGGGGATTATTTGGTATTTTTTATTTTGAGATAGGGTCTACTTGTAGCCCCAGCTGGCCTAGAACTCACTGTGGACCAGGCTGGTCTCGGTCCCATAGAGATCTGCCTGCCTCTGCCTCAAGAGTGCTGGTATTAAAGAAGTGGGCCACCATGCTCAGCTAACTTGTTACTATTCTAATCAGAATTAAGACAATACAGTAGAAAGAACACAGATTCTGGGGTCAAAGAGCTTTCAGCTCAAATCTTAATTTTACTACTTTCTAAGTGTCAAGAAGTTTTCTTCACTCTATGTTACTCTCACACTTTTAAAGAACCAAGTTCCTTCCAAACATTAAATGCCAAACACTTATGTGTCCTGAAAATAGGAACAGGTATTGATAAAGCTTTCAATTAAAAAATAATCTTGGGATAGAAAAATGGTTCAGAAGATAAAGTACTTGCCACACAAGCTTGAGGACTGTCATTTGGATCCCCAGAACCCACATAAAAACTAGGTAGGTGAGGCAACCCACCTGTAAACCAACAATTGGAAGGCAGAAATAGGAGATCCCTGGGATAGGATGGCTAGCTAGACTAGCTAAATCAGTGAATTCTGAGTTCAGCGAGACACCCTGCCTCAGTAAAGTGGAGAGAATCAAAGACAGCCAATCGAGGTCAACCTCTGGCCTCCACAGATATACACACATATGAGCATGCATACACACTACAAAATAATCATCTTCAGGACTAGAGTAAAGCTCAATAGTAGAATGCTTGCCTAGAATGCATGAGGCCCTGGCTTTGATGCTCCCCATTGCAAAAAAATAAAAATCAATCAAAATGGTCAATCTCAGCTTGGTTTCTTTATAGGAAACATATATAAGGAAGTTCAGCTTTTTATTTTAATAACCATATGGGTAAAAAAGAACACAATCCTTTTTAACAGTATCAGTATTTTACTTCCTTGGCTGGTAAAATGTGAATGGTAAATAAGATGAGATCAGATTAGCACAGGTATAGGGAGGATTCAAAGTTTAATCTATTTATACAGATAGTAACTAAAATAAGGGGAGCCCCCCCAGGGCTGGAGAGATGGCTCAGAACACTGGCTGCTCTTGCAGAGGACCCGAGTTTGATTCCTAGAACCCAACTGTAACTCCAGTTCCAGGGAAATCCAATGCCCTCTTTCTGACTTCCGAGGGCATTTCACAACATGGGTGAATTTAAAATACATGCAGGCAATACACTCATACACATAAAAATAATAGTAAAATATTTTTTAAAATAAAGGGGGACCCCATATTTCTAATACCTTTCAGAGACAAAACCATCCGAGGACACCTGGGCTCCAAATATTTCTTGAGGTCATCCCAGGCCTTTTTAATAGCAGCATAATGGTCAATATATCTTCCTACATCTGAGTAAGTATCTATGAAGAGAGATTTCCAGCACTGATTCTTCCGTGTTTTCTCTTCCCTAAATAGATTTTAAAAATGAGATTAAAATCTTTTGAAATGATATTAACACATCTCTTTTTTCCCCTTTTTTTTTTTTTTGAGAAAGGGTCACATGCAGCCCAAGCTTTCCTTGAACTAGCTATGCAGTTAAGGATACCCTTGAGCTTGTGGTCCTCCTGCACTAGGATTAGAAATGTGTGCTACCATACCCAGCTTGGCACATATTTCCGACATTTACCAACACACTTTATTGGGAGTTTGTGAGAACTTTGCCTTTTTAAATTCCTCTTTAACCTATGTCAGCCACAAATGGAGACTAGATAGCAAAAAGTAATATATAACATCAAAAACTGTAACAGGAGTCACTGCTGGCATGGTAGGATTATTAGTCACTTATTTTCTTACTTTCTACTTAATTTTTTCCAAGTTTCCTAATTCTTAATAAAATATATGAATAGTATGTTGGTACAAATTTTAACTTACTCTTGAAAATACACTAATTGAAAATAAACTGATTGAGGTAGGGTCTCATGTAGCTCAGATCAGGCTGGCTCAAACTTGCTATGTAGCCAAGGATATCCTTGAACTTCTGATCCTCCTTCCTCTACCTCCCACATGCTGGGATTACAGGTGTGTCACCACACTGACCTCAATTATAATTTTAAAAGGCAAGTATAGTCATCCTATTTTAGAGAATATTTAGAATATAATGACAATAATATTGGTCCAGCACATCTATATTAGATCAGAGAATCACAAATCATCAAAACAAATACATGAGCCAGTATTTTTACTTGCCTACAAGTCCATAAACATTTGTGTTTATGGCCAAACACTTGGCCACTAAGGACATAAAAAATAGGGCACATTTTTGCCTTCAAAAAGTAGACAGTCTAATCAGGAACAAAAAGAGTTCAGCTTTTTTTAACAAAAAACTTGAGTCAGAAGTAGAAGATAAGCAGTCACAAGGTGCTTTAAGGTGCCATAAAATGAGCTTGCACTTTTTCCTATAGAAAATGGAGAGCTACTAAAGGCTTATAAAAGGGAAATTTAAAGAGAATTTGGTTGTGGTTATGGTTTGAGAAGTGGGGGTAGACTTAAGAGGTGAAAACCATAGACATCAGAGAGGAGTTAGGAAAGTTCTGCAGTAGCCCATGTGATAAACTGAACAAAAGCTATGGTAATAGGGAGATATCAAGAAATACAAAGCACAAACCAAGAAAGTCTGGTAATTAAGTGAACGTAGATAAAGAGAGAAGGCCCAAGATAATTCTTATTTCTCGCTAAGCTGCCTGGATGGATGGTGGTGTCAGGAAGTCAAGGAATGGAGGATAGGTTTAATATAAAAGAATAAATCAGGATAAAGGTGCTTTGTTTTCTGAAACCGTCTGCATGGCTCAGGCTAGCCTCAAACTCAGGATCTTCCTGCCATAGCCTCCCAAATGTTGGGATTATAGGAGTATGCTACCATGCCTGGTTCCAAGTGGGTTTTTCGTTTAGATTTTTGAAGGCGTAAGGAGGGAATAAAGCGATTTTTGTTTGTTTTGTTTTAATCATGAAAAAATGTCAGTATATTTCACTGGAATGCCAGAGAGCAGCCTGAGTTATTTTTTAAAATTATTTATTTAATAACCAATAAATAGAAGCATTTCATTACAACAGCATTGACATTTTCAATACCAATTTCCAGAGTTAAGACGCATCTCTTTCAAAATTGGCTGTAATTTTTTATGTTTATAGTTGAATACAGTTATACATTATTTTACTCAGTATAAACCCTATAAGATATAAAATTGAATGAAGTTTTAACCTTTAAAAAAGATCTCCATTTCATTATTAAAATATACTGTTTCATACAGAAAAACTCATTTTTAATGCAACTAACACTTGTTTGTACATGCGTCTCTAATCTCTATACTACAAATGAACCTACCATTTGACCCAGTTATACCACTCCTTGGCATATACCCAAAGAACTCATTCTATTGCAGAGACACTTGTACATCCATGTTTGTTGTTACTCTTTTCACAATAGGTAAGAGATGGAAGCAACCTAAGTGTTCTTCAACTGACCAGTGGATAATGAAAATGTAGTTCATTTATATGATGGAGTTTTACTAATCAGTAAAGAAAGATGAAATCATGAAATTTGCAGGTAAATGGATGGAACTAGAAAATGGATGGAACTAGAAATTGTTATACTAAGTGAAGTAACACAGACTCAGAAAAACAAATGACGTATGGTTTCCCACATATGTGGATCCTAGCACCAAATCCTTATAAGTGAGTATGATTCCAGACATAACTATAGGAATCAGGATAATGAAAAGGAACCAGGGAGGTAAAGGAAAAGAAAGAATCTGAAAGAGAACAGTAGGAAACAGGTGTTAATAAGGGAAATATGGATAAAAATTGAGAGAAATCTTGGGGATAAAGTGAAAGAAGGGGCTCAAGAGAGATGGGACCATAGGAGAAGGGTATTAAGGGAGATATGGGAAAAATGGGGGCACTTTAAATGGGGAAACCATGGTGGAAGGGTTAGACAATGAGAGAGATAAATAATGCCTAGCTAGTTTTAAAAAAAGAGGAAACCATATTAGTCCAACAACCTACTGACAAATTATACATAAAGTGATTTATTAATATAAGTAATACATAGACGTACTATCAAAACTAAATAGTACAAAAGAAGAGGGTTGAGGTAAGTGTAGCTCAATTTGTGCAGTGTTTGCCTAGTATGAGAGAAGCCCTAGGTTCAAGCCCCAGCACTGACAAAATTAGGAAGGTGCGAAAGAACTTGTGGTTCAAAAAAAAGTTTTCATTTCTAAGCCCAACCTCTCCGAAGAAACAAGTTATTTATGGAAGTATATTTCTAAATCCTTATACCTCTGGTTCTTGATTTACCAATTTTTTTTCCCTTTTTTTGGGACAGGGTTTCCCTGTAGACACAATGCCTAGAACTTGATATGTAGACCAGGCTGGATCAAATCTGCTTACCTCTGCCTCCCCAGCGCTGGGATTAAGGTATGCACCACCATGCCCAACTTTTGATTTACCAAATTTCCATGTATCTGGTAATGCTCCAAAGTGGAGCAAAGATGAGGATATATCAATACTTAAAATTCCTCCTTTCACCAGACACAGTGGCATATGCCTTTAGTACCAGCATTTGGGAGGCAGAGGCGGGTAGATCTCTTTGAGATCAAGGTCAGCCTGGTCTCCATAGCCAGTTCCAGGCCAGCTGTGGCTACAGGGAGACCCTGTCTCAAAAGAGACAAAAAAAAGAAAAAAGAAAAATATCCTCCTTTCCTATTCTTACTCCTCTGAATGCTTGATAGCTATTGTTGACTTTTACTTTGGAAGAACTAAAGCTCATTGTCTTAAACATTATGCTTAAACCTACCCTTCTTGCTCTACCAACTTTAGTATGCCCAACTTCCCTCAATCTAAGAAAAGATGTTATGATTCCCATCTTTCCTTTCACCTTTGCCAAACCTATCACCTACATTTTTATTTTGGTAATATGTTAACATTTACTGAACCCAGTAACAGAAACTAGAATTAGAGAGGACAAGCAGAACATACTAGTATTAGGGTCAAAAATCTGTATGTTCTCTGCTAAAGGTTGGGCTGGGGAGAGAAGCAGAGGTTCAGAAGGACACTGAAAATATAGTTAACTAGTTCTAGTGGAGAATGGCTATAGTTTACAACAATTTAATGTGCATTTTATAACATATAAAGAACTAAAAGAAATAATTTGAAAGGTCCCAATACAAAGAAATGATACATATTTTAAAGATATGTATGAAAATGGAAAGTCAGGCATGGTGGCACACACCTTAGCCCCAGAGCTCAGGAGACAGAAGTAGGTAGATCCGATCCAGCCTGATCTACATATATCCAGGCCAGCTGGGGTTGTAAGACAACCCTATCTCAATAAATAAATAAATGGCAAAAAAGGAAAGGAGATGGAAATACTAATTAGCCTGATTTGACCATAAAAAGTTGCATATGTATACTGAATTATACTCTATCCTATAAACATGAACAATTCCTGTATATAAATTAAGAATATAAAGTTAAAAATTTACCCTAGTGTCAAGTGTGATGGCTCATTCTTGTAATCTCAGCAAAAGAGAGGCTGAAGCAGGACTGCCAGAAGGGCAGCCTGGGCTACATACCAATTTTTAGGCCAACCTGGGCTACATACTAAGTTTCAGGCCAACCTGGGCTACAGAATGAGATCCTGTCTCCAAGAACAACATAAAAATTTACTCTTAAAAAAACAAAAACAAAAACAAAAAACCCACACACATCCCACCCTACATGCACATCTTCACAGAATACTTACTCAGATATCAGCCAGTATTTTTTGCAATGTCTTCTCCACAGCGGATCATGACTTGATAGCTGGTTAAGTCTTCGACTGACATAGCAACAACTGGCAGTAAGCAGATTCATAGAATAAAAGGGAAAAAAAACAGAAAGATTAAAAGTCATAGTTAAATTGTGTTTGACTCCCTTTATTTTTCTTATATCCTCTCATGACCCTTATAACTGCAAAACAGTATTTTCTAAAACCTATTTGTGTTAGCTAGCCAGACTGCCTTGTGATTAGTAAAGGAAGTATCATGCAATCTCAGATTCAAACTGTGCAACTGATATACATCAAAATCCCAATGGATTAATACAGTTTAACCCAACACACTTGAGGAAATATGCACCAAAACTGTCACGGCTTGGCAACGGGCTCAACATTGGCATTTGGCAGAGCTGGGCTATACTGTGCAAGAAAGAAGCTGCAGTGCGCTGGACATGTGCAGATAAAAATAGAACTGGATTCCACTAATTTCCACACACATTTATGGAAGGGTAATGTCACCTCAGCTTAAAATTCTTATTACTACCTAAAGCATTTGAAATAAAAATCTGTTCTTACAAAATGCTATATGATTTCACCAGCCACACCTCATCCAGTGTGCCTGTGAGTCACTACCATCTTCGGCCAAAACAGCCTTCTAGTTCCCCACACAGACCATGCCATTGTTAACAAACCCATCGACCTCCAAACGCGAGTCCCTCCACCAGGACATAACTGTATTCTGTCATACTTCACATAAAGCTGCTCCTTCTACTGTGAATTGGTCATCTCTTCCTCTTCATTCCTTAACAGAGCACTCTATTATAATTTCCTTCCTTGCACTTAGCACCTCTTGCAATTATGTATTTCACTTTCTATTTTGTCTATAGTATGTAAGTTACACAAGAGGGACCTTACCTGTCTTGTTCACTATTGCATGCCTACATTTAATGGGCACACAGCTCTCACACACACACACACACACACACACACACACATCTACTGAATAAATACAAAAATAATCCATATATTCTAGGAGTGCACACACTAGCCATTATGGCATAAATTCTGTAGATGAAATAAGGTGGAGAGTTGGGTTGCCAAGTTAAGGCAAGGCAATGCCAGAGCTTGTACAACAAAAATGTATTAAATGCCTGCATGGTATGCTGGCGGAGGTCGGCTGTAGCTAGAATGGACTGTGCAGATATGATAGTGGAGAACAAATAAGGCCTGAAAGGCCTTAGATAATACACCATATAAGGGCCTTAAACGCTGCAGAAGTTCAGGCTACAGCCTGTAAACAAGGGGTGTATCATAGACTTTTACAGAGAATGAAAGTCAGATTCCTTTTGGGAAGATTACCCTGGCAGCAATCAAAGGTAAAGGGCTGTCTAGATAGGAAGAAGTAACAGCAATAGAATTAGTTCGGATCAAATCAATTTCAAATGGAATAACCCTTCCTAAAGTAAAACCTTTTGTAAGGAAAAGCCTGAGTAGGGGAAAAATGCATTTTCTAGAAAAACAAGAGTGTAATGAGGCACTAGTACAACTCGGAACTCCAAGAAACCTGTACTTCTAGAAGGACCCTTAAGAACACAGGATACAGTCATCAAATGGCTAGGATCCAATAATCAATCAAAACCCAAAAATCTTGACTTCCCATCTATAAACATAAATGGTAGCTCAGGAAACCCAGTGTGCTGCTGTCAAGGATGTAAACAATCCTGACATGGAGGAGAGGGCGGGAACCGGAGCACAGCAAGCAGCGTCATTTCTTCTGCTACGCCAGAGGGTCCCAAGTCTTGGAAAGAGCTGGGTTTTGGGCCACCCTGACTAACAGGCGGTGTTTACTTTTGCAGCCGAAACTGTTAATGTAGGAATCCGTGGGGTAACAGCAGTCACCTGTACCGCCTCACTAGAACTCAGTACCAAAGCACAAAATCCAACCACCCACTGGAAGACGGAAGACCGACGGCCAAACAATTTGCAAACACAAGACAAAGTGCATGCCCCGAATGATCACGATGCCAGGGGGAGCCAGAAGGTCGCGGCCTCCCTCCAGACGTCCTCAGCCCAACCAGATTGAGCGTGGGCCGGGACCTTGAGGTGTCGCCGGAGCACCGCACCGGGGGCGCCAGCTCTGTCCCCGGGATCAGGGCCTCCCAAGGCCTGAGGGAGAGGACGCTAGTCCGGGGGGACCTGGGGCCTGCACAGGACGAACGCCTCAAGGCCAAGCCCTGCCTGTCGCGTCTCCCTCAGCCTCGCAGGTGGCCCTGAAGGACAAGGGTGTCACTTTCGGGTGCAGCCGGAGGCCGCCTCTAAAAAGCGGCCGCGGGAGTCGGGATCCAGGGTGCGACTCCGGCCTCTTCCCTCCCGGCCTCGCCGCCTCCTGCCGTGTCCCCATCCCAGTCACGAGCACCACCCAATTACTTGATTAGGTCTCGGTAGTCCACGAAGGATAGGATGAGCAGCAGAGGGTCGGTGGGCAGGGACTCCAGGGTCAACGGCAACGGCTCGGCGTCTAAGGCCGCCATCTTGCCTGGCCCGCAGCACCCCGGCACGGCCCGGCCCCGCCCCCGCCGCCCAAACTGCTCCACAGCGGCTCTGACGGCTGAGTTATGTAACCGTCACCTGGCCCCGCCCCGAAAGACCACGCCTCCTCCGCGGCCTGCGCAGCTGCGCGCTGGGTTCTGGGTGCGGTGCGCTGCTCTGCACTGCTCTTTTCGATCGGTCCCCTTTGGAATGCCTCCTGTCACATTCCCACCCCTAAACTGACCCAGACTCCTGTCAGTGTGTTCCGGGTCTTCTGACTCTGTTCTCCAGGCAGTTAACACACCGTATCCTCAGAAGCCTCCCTTCAAGCCTCACACTACACTAACACCCTCTGGCTTTGGACTCCCAATCCCGAAAGACAGACCGGGGGAGGGGGTGGTACTGGGGAAGGCTCTTTTCTCCAGTTTAGAAATGATCAGCAAGGGCGTAATTTTACCACCACCCACCAAGCAAAAGCCTCCTACTATAGATTAAATACGTTAACTTTTGGGTAAATTCCTTGTCCAGAAACCCAGGAAATATTACTTTCCCAAACCTTTACCACCAGTTTTTTTTTTCCCAGAGAACGTTTCTCCCAACTACTTAGGAAAGTGGATACAGACTTCCTCACCTGCTGAGTTTCTGTCAGTTGCTGTTAGTTAACTTGGTTATCATGGAGGTCGAAGTAAAGTATAGAAATGGATTTTTATTTTTACTTCTTTATTTTGGTACAGTTTTAGTACCCCAAGTGTGAGGGGCTGAACTCTGAAACCTCAGGAAGGCGTGGTTAAGGCAGGAAGATGTTGTTCTTCAGCTTTGCAAAGATAGTATTAAAGTAGGAGTGAGAGAAATGTGATGGATTTTGTGTCAACAAATACATTTCTTCTTTTCTCTTGGCTTCCCAAGAGCAGTATGGCATGAGGGGCTTGGGAAATCAAAAAGACCTGGACTTGACTCACTTATTTTACTTTACTAGTAGTGAAATGGTGTATTATCCTCGTCTGACCTCTGTGAATTGGTCCTCATCTCTAGAAACCACCTCTTCTACCATGCATGGGTTAAAGATAATAACCCCGGGAGCTGGAGAGATGGCTCAGTGGTTAAGAACACTGGTTGTTCTTGCAGAAGACCCGGGTTTGAATCCCAGCACCCACATGGCAGCTAACAACTGCCAGTACCTCCAGTCCCAGGGGATCCAACAGCCTCTTCTGACCTCTGCGGGCATTGCACGACATGGGTGCACTTACCTACAACATGCAGGCAATACACATAAAATAGAAATAATAAATAAAAATTTTTAAAAAATAACCCTTGTGTAAAGCCCCTGGCTAGATGCTCAATAAATGTTAATCTTCCAAACCTATACATATAACAGTCACCTGGTGACTGACTATACACATCTTAAAGAAACTTTTCTGTTCTTAAATTTATTTACAGGGCTGGCGAGATGATTCCATGGTTAATAGCACTGCTCTTGCTGCTATTGCACAGGACCTGGGTTCAATTCCCAGAACCCACATGGCAGCTAACTGTCCATAACTACAGTTCCAAGGGATCAAACACCCTCTTCCTGGCTTCTGTGGGCATTGCACACACGGGTGCAGTTACATGCAGGCAAAACATTCATATACATAAAAATAAAATCAGTTTTTAAAATTACATTTATTTACCTATGTATTCATTTGCTTTATGTGTGACAGGGGCTATGTGTGTGTGGGCCTGTGAAGGAAACTGGTCACCTGTGGAAGTCAGTGGACAACTTATTGGAGTTGGTTCTTCTATCATATAATTCCCGGGGCCAAACTTGGGTTGTCAGGCTTGGTGACAAGCGCCTTTACCCCTTGATCAAGGTCACCCCCTGGAAATGAAACCTGGAGAAGTTTTCTCCCAATTACTTATTAAAGTTGGTATGATCTCCCTTGCTCCCCTCCAAAAGTTCATTTTCTCAATTCACCACACCATTAATACTTTATAACTCTGCCCTAGGAAGCAAATAGCCACTGCGTACATCTGTGTGCTTCCAAACTTATTATGTGTATACTTTGTAGAGTATTTATTGAGTTGGATTCCAGTTAGCTGCTTTCTGTTGTCTCTATAAACTGTAAACTCTAGGCCTTACTCAACCTTGTAACATCAGAGCATTCAACAAATGAACATTTAAATTCAGTTGACTAAGGACAGAACAGTCTTTTTTTTTTTTCTTTTTTTGAGACAAGGTCTCCCTATGTAGCCCAGGCTGGCTTCAAATTCACTCGCAGTGTCATCTTCCAGTCTCTCAGCCTCAGCCTCTTGAGTGCTGAAACTGTAGGCATGCAACACTGTGTCCAATTCAGACCAGTTATTTCTACTAAGCTATAACCTAATACAAAGCATGAAGTTACCCTTCCCAGGTCCAAGACGGGGACACTTAATTGGTTGGGGCACAAAATTTAAGAGGGGTATTAGCTTTGTAGCTATTTCCTCCAGTTGAAACATTCTCTACTGAAGGGAGGAGGGAAACTAGTAAGATTCAGGAAGTGAAAGATACAATGCTCAGAAAATTCCTTCCAAGACTTAGCCGGCATCCCACACCCATACATCCAAGGTTATATAAGCAATATTAATTGCTACTGAGAGGAGAGACTGTCCAAACAGCTGTGCTACCTGCAAATCTTGCTGTTGCTTTCATGAGCTGTCATGCAGGCTAGGTGGACTTTTGGTGATGCAGCTGCCTTCTTTACCCATGTTTCTGTAAATAATCATTCACTCATAGCTTTAGGTATCAATTTGACACATTTGGGTAGAGGGTGCCGTATTGGGAAATCGCCTCCATTGGACTGGCCTGTGGCCACGTCCATAGGGCATTTTCTTGATTGTTGAGTGATATGGGAGGGCCCAGCCCACAGTGGGTGGTGCCACCCTTGGGCAGGTGGGCCTGTATTGTATAAGAAAGCAGGTTGAACACGGGCCAGGGGAGCAAGCCAGTAAGGGGCATTCCTACACGAATTGTGCTTCAGTTCCTGCCTCCAGGTTCCTCCCGGAGTTCCTCCCTTGGGCTCCCTCAGTGATGAACTGTGACCCGGGAGGTGTGAGCCAAATAAACTCTTTACCTCCCTAAGTTGGTATTGGTCAGAGTGTTTTGTCACAGCGATGGAAAGCAAGCTAGAACACACTGGGTGACTGCCAGCATTCTAACCACAAAGCCTGTCAGCAAACATTCTGGTGATAAGTTGGTAGAAACACATGAAGAGAGAGAAAACAGTGAATAAATTATTTTCCTTGGGGCTCTACATCACAGGGGCTTGCTCTCTGGATCCTGCTCACATACATTGCTTTCCCAATCTTCACTCCCCCTTAGCATGTTGGTGAGAAAATGCAGTCTGGGCCTGGCTTGAGGGGCTGGCAATTCCATGGCATGGTCCATGGGATGTGACAGAGGCTGACAGCATGAAAAGGGGCTGAAGGTGCATGGCAGGACTTCTGAGGTGCAGGGGCAGCAAGACCTCCATCTGAGTGCCCCCTTTGGCCTTTTGGACTGGTAAAATTAGCCATTTAAAAGTAAATAAAAGCATGTATTCAGGAGTCCACCTCCCTCCGCCCTTTTGCCTGATGCTTCACTTGACACTGTGAGAGCCTGTTTTCATTTAAAATTTTAGTATTGGCCAGGCAGGCGGATCTCTGTTAGTTGGAGGCCAACCTGGTCTCCATAGTGAATCCAGGCCAGCTGGGGCTACAAGGAAACCCTGTCTCAAAAAGACCAAAAAATAAAGAAATAAAATTTTAGTATTTTGTTCAGTATAGAATGTTTTGCATTGATTGATTTTTAAATACTGCATCAAAGTGTTATTTCTCTTGATAACTGAAGTTTTTTTTTTTTTTACCCCAGATAAGGCACCAAAGATAAAAGAAATGATTCCACTCACATCTAGCTTAGGGAACCCCTGAGTTTGTTGGATCGCTAACTCACAGTTTTGCCCCCTTTTTCATAGATGCTTCCTCTTTTCTCTTTTCCTCAGATGGAGACTTTTGCAATGACTTTCAGACCGGTGATTTTATTTTAGCACTTTTTTCTTTTCTAAATTTATAATACTTTGCCTGGTTTTAAGACTTTACTGAGCTAGACGTGATGGTGAATGCCTTTAATCTCAGCACTTGGGAAGCAGAGGCAGGTGGATTTCTGTGCGTTCAAGGCCAGCCTGGTCTACACAGGGAGTTCCAGGCCAGCAGCTGGGGCTACAGGGAGATCCTGTCTCAAAAAGACCAAAAAAAAAAAAAAAAAAAGATTTTATTGATAGCCAACCAATATATGTTTCTTTCTCACTGTAACCCAATGCTAAGGTATAAAAGATATGTGCTACTTCCCTTTAGGGTACAGATTTTGGGGCTGGAGCCCACTGGACCAGGCTTCAGCCTAATAAAAATATCTGCCTCCTATATATTCCTGGTGCCCTCCCTGATCTTTCCCAATAAAGCTCCAGTGCATTGGCCAGGAAGGTGGAGGTAGAGATAGCTTTTTGCCTTCCTTGTTTCCAGGGTTTAGCCTGGGTAGAGAGTGTGCTATTGGAGGAGGACTTCCCCTTAACAGAGGCTAGATGGTCAATGCCCAGTAGAAGATTGCAATATTAATGGATAACTTTGGTCTTATAATGTAGTCACTCTCAAGATAATGCAATGTCACCTCTTGCTTATGCCAATGGTTATTATTATTATTTTTGCCATTCTCATTGCCATAGGTTTGATAGGAATTGGTCCAGCTGACCACTTATACAGAGAACATTCTGTTGGTACTCTTTTACTTTGCTTGGTGGGTACTTTAAGTATCCTCCATTGTTATTGCTATTAACCCGACCTCCAGAATGATGTTCTTTTGTTTATTGTGCTTCTCCACCCAGGCCATCTTATCTAAGGCTAGCATCTCCTTAAGAGGGTGCCAAGTAGGACATTCACAAAGGGACCATGCCTTCCTTGTGAAAGGCCATACTCAAAAAGGATATAACCAGTAACATCAGGAGAATAGCACATGTGCTGGTACAGACTTAGAAAGGACTCAGGGGCTGGGATGCTAGCTCTTTATTTGGAGAA